AGACCTTACTCTGAGCTCCTCCTGCTCAATCCTGGTGACCTCTGCAACAACAAGGTCCTTCCTCTCCTTCCTGCTTGCCTTGGACCATAGGATGGGTGGCTCGCTCCATCCGAGGCCTGCCCGCCCTGTCTGGACCATGCCCACGACTTGGTGATGTTGCAGTCTTCCAATCACCTTCTGCACCTCCTCCTTGGCCCTCCATTTCCTTCCAGTCTCTGGCATTTGCATCAGCCACTGCCCTGTCGGCAGAGTCCCTTAACTCCATCACCAGCCTTGCCTTCTCCTGCCTGTAGCCCAGGGTGATGGATTTCAGGGGTAGCTGGAGTGAGTTCCATCCATACAGGCCAGCAGCTGAAAAGCACCGTGGTAGGCCGAGCCATTTGCGGATGAAGGAGTTGGCTTTTGCCTCCATCTTTCTTACGGCTGATGATGTGACTTCGCACAGCTTCAGGGGCCACATCACCCTTGGGTACAGGGTGAAGTGATAACACCACACCTTGTACTTTCCAGGTAGCTGGCTTGCGTGGATCTTGGACAGACCTTCTGACAGCTGCTGAAGAATGATTCTCCCCATATCCTTGTCTGAGAGACCAGATGTATAAAGTCTTCCCAGGCTTCGGATGGGCTGATCCACAATACGGGGGATGTCTTCCCCGCTGATGGTGAAGGTGACTCTGTCATTTCTCTCCCCCTTTCGCAATGAGAGGCTCCTTGACTTCTGCGGCTTGAACTTCATCCTGGCCCAGGTGATCAGCTCACCCAGCCTCTTAAGCAGCCTGGATGTGCATGGGGCGGTTCGCAGCAGGCAGGTGATGTCGTCCATATAGCTCCTTAGGGGCGGGAGCCGCTGGCCTGCAGGCAGCCGGACCCCACCCACCACCTGCCTTGCCCCGATCAGGATGACCTCAAACGCTGCCACGAAGAGGATGGGGGAAATGGAGCATCCCATTGCGATCCCTACTTCCAGTTGTTGCCAGCCAGTGGTGACCTTCTTCAGTGCAAAGCACATGTGCATGTCCTGGAAGTAGTTCATGATCATGGTCCTGATGTTGTCTGGGATGTAGAAGAATTCCAGAGCGTAGGCTATGAGCAGGTGTGGAACTGACCCATAGGCATTAGCTAGGTCTAGCCATATGACGTGCAGATCTTTCTTCTCCCTTTTAGTGGTCTGGATCTGTTCCCAAATCATGGAAGCATGCTCTACACAGCCAGGGAAACCTGGAATCCCGGCTTTCTGGCAGCTGGTATGGATGTAGTTGTTCTCCGTGAGGTAGGTGGTCATTCTTCTTGCCATCACGGAGAAGAAAATTTTCCCCTCCACATTCAGTAGAGCTATGCTTCTGAACTGCTCGATGGTCTTGGCGTTCTGTTGTTTGGGGATAGAGACTGCCACTGCCCTCTGCCACTCAGATGGTATGGTCTGCTTAGCCCAGGTGATTCTCATCAGGGTCCATAGCAGCTTCAGCGCTCCTGGGCAGCTCTTATACAGCTTGAACGGTATTCTGTTCGGGCCTGGTGCTGAGGCAGATCTTGCCCGCTGGATCACCTGCCTGACCTCGCTGAGCTTGGGTGGTGATGCGTCAAACAGGGCTGATGGTTCTGAGGGGCTAGGCACATACCCTGGCGAGCCTAAGGGGTTGTTCCTTGCTGGGTCACTGTACTGAGTATGACTCTATATATATATATATATATATATATTTTATAATTTTGTACAGAATTGTTGTCACGGCTGGTTGTGTGGGTAAAGTTGTGACAGTTTCAAAGAAAGAGAAGATAAGAGGAAGTTGCTCTGGGTATCTTATAAGAGGGTTTCAGTATGTGCATGCTGTAACCTGAGGATTTGACTGTAACTGAAAGCAGCAGCTGCTGCTTGGTTCACTGCTAAAGGAGAACTGTACTGACACCAGAATCACTTTCCCTATAATCTTTACAGCTGCAGTGAATGTCTTTTAATTATTAATATATAGCACCATTATTTCTGTTATGTTACTATTGCCAGGTATCAGGCATTGATAGCCTGTTAAAGTAGTCAGATGTTAAGTTGATGAAAAGGGCCAGAGACACCCAGATGTTGTAATTGTGGTCTCAGTTTGATGACTTATCTGTGTCCAGGTTTCTACAACAACAGACGGCCTGGATGCTGACCTGTGGAAAGACGGCCTTTTCAAATCCAAGGTGACCCGCTACCTGTGCTTCACCAGGGTCTTCTCTAAAGAAAATGTAAGTTAACTCAATGCATGTTGCAATCTTGTGTAATCATATAGCATTTATAGCATGTTTTTTTCCCACCGATGGTATATTTTGACTCCCAATATTCACCCCCCTCTCCCCTGTCCGCCATCCCTTTCTCCACAGAGCCATTTAGGCAATGTTCTTGTCGACATGAAGCTGATTGATATAAAGGACACTCTACCTGTGGGTTTCATTCCCATCCAGGAGACTGTTGACACACGTAAGTTATCATGTCAAGTAGCAAGGCACAGATAGCATCACTGTGTCGTAAATTCAAATGAAATCTTTAAAAATGTCGAACAGCTGTGTAAATCCTCTCTGTAATGTATGCAGTGGAGTGACTCCTAGTCTGTCTGTCTGTCTGTCTGTGTGTCCCACAGAGGAGCAGGCCTTCAGAAAAAGGCGACTCTGCATCAAGTTTATTCCGCGGGACTCCACAGAGGCAGCCATCTGTGACATTCGCATCCTGGGACGCTCCAAGCAGGCTCCCCCCCAGTACACCTTTATAGGGTGAGCAGTGCATGTGGATCACATGACAGGACGTTAGTTTTGGCGGTAGACTTGACAAATAGTTGTCCGATCTAAGCATCCTTACTCAGACAATGGCAGGAATGAGCCGCAACTGACTTAGCATTTTAGCAAGTGTGGTTCCCTTGTGTCAAAATCAATGGGTTTTTGGTTAGATGGCTGAAATTGGCATCTCTTTCTGCTTATCAATGCTTATGAACCTGTTTGACAGAGAACTCAACAACATGGGAATCTGGTATCGCATGGGGAACGTACCTCGGGCCCAGGACTCCACACACACGCCGACCACCAACAACATCCAGAATGTGAACTCCTCCTCCAGCTCAGCCCCTGTCCCAGCAGCTCCTATGCCCAAGTATGTCTGTGTGTCTGATTTACCCTCACTTATCCAACTAGCTCTCATGTATCCTGCATTTACTCCCATGGCTTACACTCTTTGCTCAGTCCTGAATCAAGGAAAGATGATGTCCACTGTCTTTGAACATCCTTACATTGGGGGAAGGGAAACAGATCTATCTTTAAATGACAGTGGTCTAGGAAAAGGTGACGCTTTCAGCTGGAAAACAAAGAAAAGCATTGATTGCTGCCTTGCTGACAAAAAGAAAGGAGCAGAGTTGAACTGCAAACATACATTGTGTTCTGGGAACTGCCCACTGACACTTTGAATACCTGTTTTGAATGGTGATAATATCCTGCATTTGATCAGGGCATTAGAGTTAAAGGTTGAATCCTTCCTGTGTTCTGAGCATAAGACAGTGACACTGCCTGATCTCTCGCACTCCCCTGGACGATGATATGAAATTTCTAGTGATGTCGATCGATAGAGTTGGATGATCATTTTTATTATCTTATCATTATAATTGTGGCTACTTCAGATTGCCAATATGCACTCCGATCACGAGTGGGACAGATCATTGAGTCAAGAAATGTACCAGTACTCTCACTAATGGTGAAAACTATAAACCAGCACAAAAATGACAATTAACAACATAAACTACCATATTCTCAACAGACATGTTACAAACACTAACAAAATGTAACATAGTACATGAAAAAGTGGTGCATTTTGCAACCTAAAAACTTTACAGACAGGGCCAGGCATGAAGGGAAAAGTGGCCTGTCACTAGGCAAGAGTCTGTGGGATTACAAAGCAGAGCTGGCTCTGTCCAGGCAACAGCACACTGTGAATAAATATATCTATTTAGTTCCTTGTTATTGGGCATCAACCTCATGTTTACACGTGTTGTGGAAAAAAATTATTTGAAGCAGAAATTACCACTTCTGGTCATGCATGCCCCGTCAGACACAGCCGAGAAATGAGCCTGCACGGAGCAGGTACAGACAACATTATAATGAGTGTGTCCGTGCCTGGTGAGACTGTATCACAGAATCCTGGTCTGTTGAACATTATATTTCTGATATTAAGGCTGCACTGTGTGTACTATTTACTTCTGACTAAAAATAGTTAGAAATGAGAACATTTAGAGTTCCAAGCTTCACAGAGACCACTGCTGGTCAGTTACCTACTCACTAAGATGTCTATGAAACACAATCACATCATTTAACAACAAAATATAGCTATCCTTACTTGCCAGGCTCCTTATATGTTTGCTAATAACTTATTTAAAGAGTTTGGTCTCTGACACCGGCAGCATTGTTGTTTGTTGTTTAAAGCATA